CCCCATGGTGAGGGAGGGAATGGGGTTGAGGTCAGGTTAGGCACTGCCTAGCTGGGCTGGGGCAGGCATGGGACCGAGCCTCAGCTCATCCAGGGCAGCTTCTGCTGCTAGCCCGGGAGAGCACGGTTGGGAGGGCTGCACCTGGATCTGTGCGGGGTGAGGCAGGACAGGCTACAGTTCTGGGCTGGGGCCGGGTGCCACGCTGCACTTGGGGCCCCCAAATTTCATTGTAGCCCCCTCCCAGCCCCGCTGCTGCCTGCTCCAAACACAGTGTGGCAACCAGCCCTAGCCCACATCTGCAGCCTTACCTGCCCACCTCACACAGATCTGGGACCACCCCCTCCGCGTGCCCCCCCAGATGAATGAAAGCAGCAGCGGCAGGAGCCGCTAGATGAGCCACCAGACGAGAGGCACACAGAGGCAGGAGCCACCCTTCCTTCCCCTCTCGCCCCCTGGATGGGCCACGGCTCCGTCCCATGCTTGCCTAACCCTGGCTGGGCAGTGCCTACCCCAGCCCCACTCCCTCAAAATCGGGGGGTAGGCATTGATCTGCCCTCCCCATGCCCCTTCCCTCCCCCTCCCCTTCCATGACAACAGGCTTACCGGCTGTATGCAGCATCTTCACACAGCCAGGCTGTGCTCCTTGTGGTCTGCATGCTGCACTGTGGCTATGTGCGCACATAGGCATTTATCGGTGAAATATTGGCCAGTTCAGGCCAATTTCCGATATAGTCAATTTTAGTTATATTGGTGCCAATCCGATATCGGACCAATGCATCAGTGCACCTCTACTTTCTATCCAGAGATCTGGTCATCTCCAATATCCACATACTTCAGTTCTTCACTCCCCCAACCAAGATACCACACCGAGAAGTCTTCTCTTCTCCAGGCTGCTCACAATCACATAAAGCACCAATTGCCCTACCCGCTGTATCAATGTAACGTTTACATCGGGGTGTCCAACCTTTTTGAATGTGGGGCCAGATCACGAACTTTTTATTACCCAGTGGACCGGTGAGCCATATTCAAAGACCTCACAGGAAGTGGTATCACATTAGGAAGTGATGTCACGTGACCTTTGACACCAATGAAGCTGAAGGAAGTGACAATGAAATGGGTCTGGAAATGTGGTTTAAAATCCAAAATAAAAACAATATAAAAAGCAAGAATGAAATAATACCAAACACTTGACTAAAATAAACACTTTTGCTTCTACTCACTTCTCAATCAATGAAAGCAACATAATGTAAGACAACAGATAAAACATGGAAAAGATATCAGCCAGAGTGGAAACTAATCAAAGCAACAAAATATGGGCATTTTTGAGAATAATCTTCAAGAAGATTTACTTTTATTGGATTAATAACTTGTTAGTAACACATCTTTAACAAGTAGTAACAAGTTGAACCCCCAATCCCGCACAAAGAGAAACACAAGCAAACACAATCTAAACACTGGACAGTATTTTTACAAAGATTTTTACCTGCTCCAAATTTTCGTTGGAGCCCAGATCGTTCATGCTCTATTCTTGAGCATATTGTTCAGTCTTAAAGGAGCATACAGCACAGCTGCAGGGGGCTCAGCCACAGCTTCCCCTCCCTGGTGCAGCCCAGCCAGCCCATCTCACCCCCTATCAAGGGGTGGCTTCCCCACATGCTGCTGCACTTTCCCCCTACCTGTGCTAGCTGGTCCCAAAAGGCAGGAGGCTCCAATGCCGCTTCTGCTGGCCAGTGCCAACCCAGCTGGGCATCCCCAGCAGCACGTGGG